TTTTTAAATCATGCAGCTATTGTTTAGGCAGGATTACTTGCAAGGGAAGTACGCAACTGCTAATAACATTCTTCTTTGCTTTTGACTGCTGGGTCATGGAATTTGAATGATGATTCAGTGCTGTTCTAAACAGCTGCTTGTTTTGATTTGTATCACAGCAGATTTAAAACTGAATCCTGCTACTACTTCATTTTTTATGCAACGCTCACCTCCGTGTCTCTGATTACGGTTTCTGTACCTTTTAATGTTATTAGAGAATGAACACAAGTTCGTTGCAGGCTGCTATCAATCGGTTTCTCAGAGAATGAAGGTGTTTCGTGTGGCTTTGCATAGGCTCCTAGCCTGTGGATACCAGTTTGGCTTAATGATTTTTTATATTCAACTTACCATTTTCAAATAGCAAATATATGTGTACTTTGTGAAACATCAGCCGGCTTCCTGTACCCTTGACACAAGTGTATTTTCTGGCAATGAAGAAGAATAATGTTGACATCCTCCCATAGCAGAGCTTTCTCTGCTTTTCTGAGCAGAGGCTGTATCTAGGTGGCTGTTTAATCGGAACAGTCATTACAAAGAATTCACTGCCTGGGTTGGCAAACCCGAAGTATGAAAGTTGCCTGTCCTTTCCTTGTTCAGATGTATCACACTGGAGGTGGGGGTGGCAGCTCTCGTTTTAGGATTAAGCTGAAGTCTTTGGTTTGGTTTTGCTTTTGTTTTTTCAGCTAAGGAACCCAGCGCAACTAAACCGCATTTTGATTCATGGTCAACTTCTGCTCTTTCTGCTCTCGCTGCCAGCATGCTGATACTGAACAAAAATCATTCGGATGTAATTTCAATTAGAAAGAAACAGCATTGTCTTTTCTTATGCTGTCACATGCAAGATATAACATTTGTCTTTACGTTTGCATACAGACCAAATTGTACAATATTTGAGAGGTGTGGCTGTAGGTTTTTTTGACTACCTCCTAAGGTCAGTTCTGATGTGTAAACACTTCTGTTTCAAATGCTCTTTCAGCTGCTTATTTTCAAGAAATTCTGTTTGGGTTTGGTTTTTTTTCTTCCCCCCCTTTTCATCTGCAACACAAAAGCTGTATGGCTGAGTGACAGATGGAGCCAGACTTTCACTCTGGGTGGAAGAGGGCAGTTCAGCTGACCAGCCAGGCGATGTTTGCTTTAGGGTGAGCTGAACAGCCTTCTCAGTTGGATGATACAATTAGATTGTGGACATCTAGTTTAGGTGTAGGCACCTGCACTTCAGACTTAATGGGAGCTGAATGAGCCTTTGTTTTTGCAAAATATTGTGCAACACTGGTGAATGGAAGACGTATTTGAGAGCATCCATCAAATCTTTTTTAACTAATCCCCTCTTGGCAGTTTGACAAGGTTTTCCTCGATTTTACCAAAGTCATATCTCCCTTAAAAAAAAACCAAACCAACCAACAAAACCTCAAAACAAAACCAAAGCAAAAATACCCACAACTGTATTTTTAAATCTTAAGTTTTAAGGTTTAATTCCTTTGCATTGGAGGTCTTTGGTCTCTGCTTTCCTTACAATACTTGTTGGCAGGAAATCTGCTCTATTTCAGATGTTTCTTTTAGGTTTTCACAGAGGTGCTGCTGAAGCCTGGCTCAAGCATTGCTAAAAAAATAGTTGTTAGGGCATCTGAGGTGAGCAAAGCCAAGGCATCCAGCACACCTCCCACTACTTCTATTCCTGTACTCACTCCTAGAACACTTGTAATGCAGGCAAAATTTTTAAATGCCTGATAAGACTTACTGGGAAAGTGACTGTGTGGAGAATGCTGAGGTGATTTTACATGTTTATGGATGACTGATTTTAGTATAAAGGAAAATATTTCTTAAAAAATGTAAAGTAATGTAAAATGTAAGTAAAGGTTTTGTATGGTGCACTGAAAGCAGGAGAGATCTGTTCTCACAACTTAAAAAGCAATACACAACTATAAACTTTGAAGACGCAGAGTGTGGAACAAACTGGATCTTCTTGCAAAGCTGCAAGTACTGCTTGTAGTACAGACAGATGTCTCTTCTCTGCTGTGCTCGCACAGAAGTGAGGATTTTAGGTTAACGTGCATGTTTTGTGATGTTTGAATTCTTTGCTTATACACTCCTAAGGCCTCCTCCAGCAGAGCTGACAACAAACAGGTTTGCCTCACAGAGCGGTGAGAGGAGCGCCAGGGACACCTAGTACCCACAGGAAACTGAGCAGTATCAGAGGACAAAACAGTGATGCTTTAATCTTTTAAAGGAGAAAAAATAAACCCTACACAAAATCATTCTTACAGCGAAATATTGCTTAGTTCCAGGGGCTCAATTGCTGTTGAAGGTAAAAAAGGGACTGCACCTTAAATGAAGGCAATGAGGATTCCAAATCCCAGCTTTGCCAGTTCACATTAAATGGCAAATCAGTCTAAAGGGATATTGCATACAAAAAGTATTTGAATCAAACGCTGTTAATCTATTTTTCTTCTGTACAGATCTCAAAACAATGAGCGAGCGTCTCAAGAATAGGTACTACGTGTCTAAGAAATTATTCATGGCAGACTTGCAGCGAGTCTTTACAAATTGCAGAGAGTACAACCCCCCCGAGAGTGAATACTACAAATGTGCCAATATACTGGAGAAATTCTTCTACACCAAAATTAAAGAAGCTGGATTAATTGACAAGTGACACTGTCTTTTTTACAACCAAACAGTGTGCCTACTTTACGGGCAGGGGAAGCCGTTCTATATCTAAGTTGTGGGACTTCAAGGTTTAAAGAAACTTCTGTTTAATACTTAGCACTTTTAAAAACCCTTTTAGTTTTGCAAACATGTATTATACTGAAGTTACAAAAATTATTTTATTAAAATGCTTTATAATGTATTTAATTACGGAAAATTTCTTTTGTGTGCCCATTACCGTATGTTCATAAGAAGTTTATCAGCTACAGCCTCAGAAACCCCACACAAAACATGTGGGAAATTGCACATGTTTGGGAATAGGAAGAAAATTCCCAAACAACAGATGTTATAGCTTACCTAATGCAGTACCTGTTTGATAAAGTTTTATTATTTTTTTTTTCCAGTAAAAAAAGAAAACAGTAAGGGAAAACAACAGTTGGGGGGGTTTCTGAAACACTTGTTTCTTTGTAGAATCTTTTTATAAGATATTTTTTAAAAGAAACACTCAACTGGTTGAGAAGCTGTGAGAGAGGAGCAGCCAGTTCTGAAAAAGGACTGCCTGTAATCTTTGATAGATGCAAGTTTTTTCTATTCATTTTGGGTTTTGATAAAATATTTTACCTGCAAATTGTAATCTCATAACCACTATTTAAAAAAAAGTATTATCTGGCTAGATGTGTAATGTCATAGTGACTTGGCTTATGCAGGACATAAGTACCCAAAATAACTTGAGAGAATCCAATTCGCGCATCCTAGACAATTTCAATTGGCTGAATAGAGTTAAGGTTTTGATGCACTTCATGATCCACCCTATTTACTACTCTTCACTGAGAAATTCCTTAGATCATTCAGCAGAGATAAGACTGTTGTACACAAAAGAAGTCAACGTATGACAGCTTCTAGCTTATATACTTGGCTCTGTGGTAAACTGGATTTTCTACCAAGCTTTATTGTAATGCTTATTAACTGTGATTATTTAGACCCAGGAACATATTAACATTTTACAACTCATGTCAGTATATCATCAAATTGAGCACTTATATATATAAAAAATATATATATTTTGCTGCTTACACTACATTTAAGAGGTACACCTAACTTCCTTATGAAGATCAGTACAGGCCAAAAAGTTGTCACTTGACATTTTATAATTAGAGTTTGTAATTGTAAATTATAACCGCTTTTGTGAAAAACAGATTTAACTTTCATTCTTGGTGTTTTATATTTACAGATGTTACACTGGTAAAATTAAATAGTTATAAGGACTGAAAAAAAAACCCTAATCCTGTGCTGTGTCAGAGAATATATTCCTGCAGAAATGCCTGTGCAATGTTAATTCACGAGTCAATTCAGCAAGTAGATGTCAGGAGCTACCTGGAAGTAGTAAATGTGGTACACAAGGTATTCAAAATGTTAACACTAGACTTGCCATAGTGTTTTGTATGAGATTAGTCTGACCTACATTTGGATCTATAACAAAGGTACAGTGAGTATTTTTTTTTTTTTTTAAATAGCCAGTACTGGATGCTATAATCCTGTTTTGTAGATTGGGCCTACAGATGCACCCGTTAAGCTTGGTATCCTGTGAAATTTTGTTATTTTCAGAGTAGATTTTCTTATCGTCTTTCAATCAGATTGTCTCTTCTATATTGAAACATTTGTTTTCTAATTTAAGAATTAATATTTTCATAGATACTGTGCAATAAAGTTACGGTAGGATATGTGGTTTTGCAAATGCTTTAACAGCTGATGAACTTTACATTTGTAAAATTAATATATTGTACTGGTACAGAATAGTTTTAAATTATATATGTACAAAATCCAACTTGTTTTGGTCTCTTCTGTTATTAATTAGTTCTTGCACTACAAATATACACACTGAAGCAATTTCACAACTGAGCACAGTCAGTGTATCTTCCAGGTATACTAGAAAATATGCAAAAAAGCCTTGGAATTCACTGGGACAATAGTGTGCCAAGCTGAGAATTCAGTATGGAAAGCTGTGACTATTCCAAATAGCATTCCCAGCTCCATACTAACTGGGCTACAGCACTCTTACTCCCACCTCCTCAGCATCTCAAACAATTCTTTGACTTAGCTGTTCAAAAGCCTTGATTTTTCACCTCAGAGGCGGCTCATACTGTTTTCCCATTGTTGTCCACTGGAGTCCTTTGTTCACAAGACACCACATACATAGGAGCAAACTACAGTCCCTGTTGAGTTTGTACTTGCTGGCATCCTGAGGTTACTTAGATAAAGGCAATTTATTATTTTATTATTTTTTTTGAGTAAGCAATGTACAAAGTTACCAATAAAAATGTAATTAACATTATACCTTTTTATTACAGAAAGGGAGCGCTCTTACATCTATTGAAGTGAGACAGACAATCTTGCAAAGACAAATAAAGAACCTTTATTTCTGTACTTTCCCATCATTGATTTTTAAGGTAGCTTTACTCTTGTAATACTTCTTAAATGTTCCTCTAGCAAAGGAAAAAGCTAATTTGAGTGCTCTGCAACCTTGAAATCTTGCTGGACAGCTGAACAGTGTTCTTCCAGCATAGTGCCTGTTGTGGTACCAGTATGATAAGGCAGATCTTCCTCTGGTGAAGATACTTGGCAAAGCAAGCCACTAAAAGTATTAGTGGCTTACTTTACACTCCACCAAAGCAGAGCATTCTTCACAGATAACCAGATAGGAACAAAGCAAATGTAAGTTTGGTACCAACCAACCCTAAATTGCTAGTTTTGAGAGCTCCAGCTATATAATTAAATTACAACTGGCAATCTTGCTTCTAAGCAACACGCCACATAAGATGGGGGAAGTACACAGGCTTGCAGTATGCCCACAGCTGACTGCCACCCTTGAAGCAAATACAGGAACTGTACAACAGAAGAACTAGCTACAAGCAGTTTCCAAACACTAAGACATACATTATGAGCTTCAATATGAAACTACAGAGATTACATACAAGATCTGTACAAACATTGTTATTAAAAAAAGCCACAAAACCATTTCATCTTAAGTGCTTGGAGTTCACCTTTGCCAAACACTGAGAGATCAAGCACGGTGTAAGTCATAAAATTACCTTCACCACCTTTTTCACCAGATATTTCTGATATACTCGCAGATCCACGGTGTAGGGATGTCTTCTCTCAAGAGTTTGAAAGAATCACTTTAGTTATAAAAGTCATCTTCCATATCATTGTCACTGGATTAAAACCAAAGCACCTTAATTTTATATCCTTACTATTAGACACATAGAAATAATTGCACATTTGTATAAGATACTGTGCAACAATAGTTTCCTGGATGAAAGATTTCCTTTTTTCATGGAGTGAGCATGGTTTTGCCATCACAGCTTGAAATCTCAACGACAACCAACAAATTTCTCATTGTACTTTGACAGAGATGCTTTCTTAAGAGAACGTCTAGCATCTTTTTTCTGCTTGAATATTGGAGAATTCAGAAAATTTGTATCTGTAAATGGATCGCCTCTCCTGAGTTTGCTGTTAAAAAAAAAACAAAGCAAAATTGAGTTTTGTTCCACACATCACTTGTACTTACTAGCTGAAAGTTAATGTTTTAATTTCACATGAACTATTTTGTATTACTAACATCGGAAATCTCTGAATGTTTTGTTAAGTATATATTTTCAATATTTAAACAACCCCCTCCGATCCCCCATTTGATTGAATATCATGAACTTTATATTAAACTGGAAAGTGAGACACCTACCTTGCAATGTTTGGTTCTTTATAGTTCACAGTAAGAGTACAGCGTCGCTTGCGTTTTGGGGATTGTGGTCCTTCACCTTCTGGTAAAATGGGCACATTCCCAATGTGGGGAAGCGATGAAGCAGTATTGGTAACATCACAAAGGTGACCACGAGATGGCTCAGAAGGCTGCCCTGGGAAAAAATAAAACATAATTCAGGTAAGCTGACTTAAAAGGGAATGTCAGGGAACATACCAGGTGTGAACTAACTCTCAGCTATAACTTCTTTCCACTTCAGAATATTAAGAGAATTGACACACAGTCAGGATTTTAATTCTGAAAAATAAATTAACACTAAGCAGTGCCAGGCAAAGTGTGATTTTATACTCTTATGCTCCTCAGCTTTAATATGTCATTAAACACATCTAGAATACAGTATTAATTCATTATTGACTAATTTCTTAAACAAAATATATCTTTAATTCAAATTTCTGCTGCAAGGAAAAAAAAAAGGGCAGACAGAAGAATGAATCTAAGGATTATTCTGTTTGTATTTATTTGAAAAACCCTAAAAACTAAACTAAGCTTGAAACTAAAATAAAAAAGCCTAAAAAAGCCTTAAACAATGTTACCTCTCAAGGAAACAAAACCAATGACGGAACACTTTCTATACTTACTAATAGACTCCTCCCTTGATTTATTGCTTTCAGTCTCTTTTTCATTATGGAGTTTCTGCTCACGCTGTGCCAAACATCTTTTAGACCTTGGCCTTACATGGACTGGCGATGTATCTTTGTTGTCCACTGAGCTTTTCCTTTTTTTGGATTTACTCTTGTAAGGCTCGTAGAGGCTATCATCTGAATCTTCAGCAGGACTCGACTCAGTGGTATCAGTGTCAGATAAGTCATCTTTGTCATCCACACCAGTATCTGTGTCATTCACCTTCCTTTGTCGAAAAGGTGTAAGATGGACACTCTCTTCAAAGTGAAAGTCATAAGCATCACTGGAGCCACCCAAAAAATCCAAGTTTTCTTTGGAAGCCTCTTTACCCTGGTTTTTTTTGGGTCTTTGTCTGGAAGACTTTTTAGACCTTTCCAGTTTTCCCTTCTGATGCTTCTCTTTCCTTATTTGGGAGTCTTCTCTGCTTTTACACTCACGTTGTTTAAGATCAGAATTATTGCTTAAGTTGAATTGTGAAGTTTCAGAATTTGTCTGCCTGAACACCAGCTCTGAGCTTAATTTTTTTTCATTCAATGGAGAAATATCTGAATTTATGTTTTCTACAGTACACTTCTCTAGACTTTCTTCAAATCTAATTTCATCCTGTTTAGAAAGCTCTCTTGTTGAATCAGGTGCTTCCGAATGGTCCAAGACACCAGTGCAAAGTTCATCGTGATTTCTCATCTTTGAATAGCGGCGCCTGGTAGACACACTTTTTGGTAACATGTTACCAAATCCATCCTCTCCACTTAAAGAAACATTTCCCACCTCTGACCTTATGTTGTCCAGATGAAAATCAGTTGTTTGCTCTTGTAATTGAAGAGGAAAAAGTCATATTAGCAAAATAGTAACAAGCAAAATACTAAGAAGCAAATTCTGAACCTCTCAAAAGTTAAGACTGTTCTTAAGAATTTTCTCCACAGATGTGTATAATTTGGCAATCAAGATAAGCTGTTTAATACAGCTTCCAGACAGAAAGCAGTTAAGTACACTACATGAGGATTTACCTCTAACCTGTTCTGTTTGAAAAGTTATCTACAGGGCATTTATTTTTCTGAGTATTTTGCTTTGTTAACAATTGTTGATTATATAAACAATAATGCATGACTAAAGATGACTTTACTCTGTTGAACTGTTTGGTAGATAATGAAACTAGACAGCAGGTATATAGAAGACAAAGCCTTTTCAAATTCCTCCCTTATTTTGCTAGGCATCTTCATTCAAAAAGTTAACCAGTTACCGATTTTAATATCTAACCTCTATGATAAGTGGAAAATTACTTGACAGTTACTTCAAAAGTAGTAATTACATTTTAAAGTTTTACTCACAGATTTTTTTCATTATTCAGAATAAAGCAATGTCTGATACTTCAATTTCATTACCTTTGTCTGGAACTATTTTGATTAAGGAAACGGCATTGTCAGACTCCTCACAGATCTCTGACACAGAATGAGTCAGCTCATGTCTATCATTATCAGCTTCAATCCCACTTGGAAGTAGTTGATCATCTCCGTCAGGACATTGTAGAAGTCCTCTAGAGAAAATATCAAAGGTAGTATTTACTGAATAGCAATATATTTTATGACAATGAACTACTTCATTACATTGGATTTCTTCCCTTTTACTAGTCAGAAAGTTAAGCTTACTGTAACATAGTTTTCAAATATAAATAGGCATTAATAAAAGGTACTTACACGGAGTCTATTTGTCCTACAACATTGGAACTGTTTTCAAGAACTGAAGAAAGCACACTCTGATTCTGTCAACAAAATAAAACTTACTGTGACTAAATAGCTGGAACAAGCTTGCACCATATGTAAGTTTTAGACAACAGCCAAGTTACCCACAGAAAGGCCACTTTTTCTCTCTGGCTGGCTAACACAAAGTGCTGTGGGATCTCACATACTCAGCTCCTGCGAATCAGCATGTTCATCACCCACCCAATTATACAGATAGCAGACAGGGGAAGGAACTGCGAGGATGATACAGGGAGCAAGACACAAACCCGTAGAAAATCAGGGTACCCCTGCCGCCTCATAGTCCCACTAAAAACCTCTTACACACCCCCAGAGTGGGATACCATGTCATACTGGGGACTATGGGATTAGTCAAACCTCCAAACTAAGGCTCAAATTTCAAAAGCTGTGTGCGTCTGTGTTGGAAAGAGTAAGGGGATGAATTAATAGACATCCTGCTCCCCACGAGGAAAAGGTACTTACTGCACCTATGGAACACAAATTCTTTGCTGGGCCAAGAAGATCAATCGAGTTCAGTAAATTCTGAGAAACTTTTGAAATTATCTCATTCAAGGCTGACAGTTGATTCTAAAGGATAAAAGAAGGAAAATAATGCTGTTACACTCTGGTATCAACTATCAGTATAATAACGTCTCATCAGTATTATGAGATGACTAAATCCTGAGGATACCTGCATCAGGTACCTTCAACTGGTATTAAAAAAAATAAAAAAATATCGCATAATATAGATTTTAATTAAAGAAAAAAGAGTAGCCAGAAAAAAATAGCTAATGAGAAAACTTGTTCTATGTGTTATTTTTTTATGAAACATTTAATGATATCAGTAAATCAGTACAGATTCTGTTGTTAAATTTCACTAAATCATAATTAAAAATACCTCAATAACTCCTTGTGCTTGCTTGAACCTAAGATTTCTTTGCAAGTCAAACATCTTAATCTTCAGATCTTGATACTCTTTTCTTAATTGAAGAATGGTAACCTGAGCATCCCTCAGTTTGAGCTTTTCTTCTTGCAAAGCCTGTGCTAGATCTCTGTTGTTTGCTTGGATGCTCTTCATCTGCATAGAGGTGTTGGCTGCAACATAACAGTGAGTATTTCAACTTGGTTTGAAAAAAAAGTTATGAAAAATATTAAGATATTTAAGGATCTTACTTGCTATTTTGCACTTTACAGCGGAGATCTGGCTAATTTTACCCAACCGCATCCATTTCTGATTTCTTTTCTCTTTCATTCGTTCTTTTATATCTTCCAGAGTGTCTTTGAAGGGCTTTTTCAGGTATTTAGCCATCTTCCACCTTTAGAAAAATAAAGGGTGAAGAACTCATTAAGCTGGTGCGGCACAAGAGAAAGAAAAGGCACAGAGAAACAAGAGTAAAGCTTATGGTGTTTTTAAGTTGCATATAAACGAATAGTAAGAGTCCCACAGCTATGGCCATTTTCAAAACTATGTTTGCAGCACGACTACCGACACTGAACTGCAAAACCCACGGTGTCCGCGGCGAAGACTAGGCCGCGGCCTCCAAACGCCGGCCCCGGGGCGGTCGGGCGGGTGGCGAGGGGTGCCCCTGAGGCCTCAGAAGCGGGCCCCCAGCTCCTCTAACACTGAAGACCCTCAGGACACCCACCCCTCCCCAGCTCTGTCCCCCCTTCCCTCACACAGACCAGCTGTCCCTCCTCAGAGCAGGCGTTTACATCCCCCGGGCACCTCCCACACACGGCCGCTGCTGCACCAGACTACGGCGGAGCCGATACCGCCCGGTCGCCCCCCCAGAGCCCCGGTTTACCTGCCAACGGCACCAACGGCTGCCCGCGCGCTCGTGCCTCAGGACGGGGGTCGACGGGGGTGGTTGGTGGTGGGGGGCACGGCAGGGCGTCCCCGCGCGCGGCCAGACGGTTGGCACCGCTCCTCCGACGTTCAAACTCCACCGCCGCGGCCGCCCATTGGTGGGGCCGGCACGTGACGTCACGGCGCGGCTGCCGCGCTCATCCGGGCCTCGCGCCTGGGCCTGCCCCTTCGGGGCGGTGCTGGAGACTTGCAACCCACAGCGCCCTGAGCTGAGGCGGCGGCCGGGTCCCGCCGGGCTGAGGCGGCTTCGCGGAGGCTGTTAGCGGGCCCGGCTGCGGTCGGGGTCTGGGCAGAGCCACCTGCTGGGCCCTACTGTGGCTCCCCTGGTTAGATCCTCCCCCCGGGGGACCGTGTTCACCAGCAGCGCCTCAGCTGCCCTAGTGGAAGGACGTAGAGGAGCTGTTTATTAAAGAACAAAACAAGGAGAGAAAAAATTAATCGTAGCTATTATGTTTCGAGCAGTTGCCTGTCTCAGCAGGCAGTGAGTTGAGCCTTTCCCACTCCTCCCGGTACAAAGCTGCTGAGGAACCTGATGAAATTCAACAAGGGCAACTGTAGGGCCCTGCACCCAGGGAGGAGCAATCCCATGCACCCCCATAGGTTTAGAGGCTGACCTGCTAGAAAGCAGCTCTGTGGAGAGAGACCTGGGAGTCCTGGTGGCAACAAGTTAACCATGAGCCAGCAGTGTGCCCTTGTGGCCAAACAAGGGGTGCATCAATAAGAGCGTAGCTAGCAGGTTGAGGGAGGTCATCCTTCCCTCTACTCTGCCCTGGTGAGGCTGCATCAGGAGTAGGGTCCAGTTCTGAGATCCTGAGTTCAAGAAGGACAGGGAACTGCTGGAAATAGTCCAGCAGACTGCTGTGAAGATGATCAAGGGAACGAAGCACCTCTCTTTCTTATGAGGAAAGGTTGGGAGGCCCGGGTCTGTTTAGCTTAGAGAAGACTGAGAGGGGACCTCATCAATGCTTGTAAATATCTGAAGGATGGGTGCCAAGAGAATGGGGCAAGTCTTTTTCCAGTGGTGCCCAGTGATGGGACAAGGGGCAATGGACACAAGCTGGAACACAGGAAGTTCTGTCCTAACACGCATTAAAACTTCTTTGAGGGTGACAGAGCCCTGGAACAGGCTCCCCAGAGAGGTTGTGCAGTCTCTTTCCCTGGAGATATTCTAAACCCACCTGGATTTGTTCATGTCCAGCAGAGGGGTTGGACTAGATGGTCTCCAAAGTCCCTTCCAGCCCCTACTATGGTTCTTGTGGAGCATTCCTGACTCCTCCTGTTGCAGCTTGAAATGAAAATACTATAAAAGCTGCAGGGTTAAGCCTGTTTTCAAACACCTATTTTATAGAAGAAATTGTTCCAACATCTCATCGATAAGATGGTGGCAACTGCCGCTCTGTGAGGTTAATGCGTGGCCAGGTGATGAGGCGTAGGACCAGCATAGCTGAGGTGAGGCACATGGCCTGGCCGTGAAGGGAACCCCCCCTGGGGAGTGCCAGGTTTGATGCTACTGTTCACCTCCCTACCAATCCGTGGCCATTTTCTTTGATTACATCATTTCTGCAACAAATGTAGCTGATTAGTATAAGCTAATATCTATGCGTATTGAACATGGAGTGCTGAACTTTGATTAAACACTGCTTTATGATGGGAAAAGAAAAAAAAAAATCAGCTAAGTGATATCTTCTTAACGACAGAATAAATGGTATTCTTGTATCTGAGAAATTAGCATTTCATAGCTGCTACATTTTTTCTTTTCTAACAGTTACTCCCGTCTACTTGATTTTATTCATTACAGCTTGGATGCTTTGTGGCAAGCTGATTTCAAACTTGAAAAATTCTCATAGATCATGACAGAAACTGTAGTCTGTGATATGTATGTATTGTCCTTTCCCACTCCTTGAAAGATTATGTATATTTTGTTTCTGTAGCTCAGAATAGCTGGCCTCATTTATGTAGTTTTTACAGTAGCGTAAATGAATATCATTTAACTTACTCTCTTAGTTCATCAATAGATACTGATAAAGTTGGGGTTGCATTTTCTGTCAGCAGGTAACTTGCCCAGCAAACACGGTTCCTTTTGCAGTGTGAAGATCCCTTTTGAGAGATGAGATCATGTCAGAAAGAATCACAATTTCTTTAGGATTTGGCATGAAAACTTATGAGCAAATTAACAGGCTAGACCCTCTTAACCGGTTAGTGGTGCTACACAGAATGAGAACAACACAATTTTAGTTTCTCTTTACATCTTTCTGCTTCTGTCTGCTTGCTGTGTCTACCAAACGCCTACTAGCCCACCCTTCCAGCCCACAAACCCCCTCCCAAACTGGAACAAAAAATCATATAGGCCTAAGGAAAAAAAAAAAAAAAAAGGATGAAAAAGAAAGACGTACTGGATGTTAAAAATCAACCAGTAGAAATACTGTTTTTTCAGATATTGTACAATTAACCTCCTATCCACTTCCTACAGGCCTCTCACTGTTTAACAGGCAATAATTAGGCACAGTCCTACACTCAACAGCAGCTAACAGCCTCATCTGGACTCTTGCAAACAGCTCCCTCTAAACATTAGATGACATTATCTCACTGAACTCAACTTCTGGGAGATTGGGAGGTTGTTGTTTTGGGGTATTTTTTTCAGCTAAGCACCAGCTTTTCTAACCAAAAGCAATACCTTTCCCTACAAGCTTTGTCTCCCTTGGAGCTAGCAGGTGTTTTCCATTTGGCCAAGTAGCAATTGGTAGTTTCCAGCAATGCTGGTAAGGTCTTTTATATGTTAGTCATTCATTTGCTTGACACAAATACGCTGATTGTGATTAAATGAACCATGCTTTGATTGAAAAAAAAAATGCTTTCCTCATTGCTATCTAAGTGCTATTCTTAATTATTTTTTCCCTGAGTATATCTATATCAAGATTAAAAAAAACCTCTTCACCTTTTTTCTTTCTTTTGTATTTAATGTTACCTACCAGTTTGTTACACCTCTTTTTGCAGATTATCTTTTGTTTTTCAATGTTGAATTTATATGCCTTGATAATTTCATTTTCACTGTTACCAATGTGTGCTCCTTTCTGCATTATTCTCATCAAGACAGTTGTGTTTCTATTAGGTTATTTGCAGGTTACACTCTCTGTGTTATTTTATTTATTTATACTGTGGGATTCCTACTAGTGGATTTTTCTAGCTTGACTGACTCGTTGCTGTAAGCAATTTCACGTTTTCCTCTATGAAGATTGACGCTGTGATTGATGCCAGAGGTGCTCTAGATTATTAGCTTATTTCTAGCGGGTGTGCTCATGTGGCAAAGCAGCTGCTGCTGTGACTGGAGTTGGTGGAGTATTAAAAGATTTGTTCTCATCTTAGATTTACTGACATATTACAAGGAAAGAGTTGCTTCATATAATTACAGCAAGTTACAGGAACCAGAGCTGTGATTCTGGGAGTATTTGAGATAATTCTTGTCAGAGTTCAAGTCTTGAGTGTGGTGTTACATGCTGATGTTCAATGAATTCTGTTAGTGGTCTATGTAAAGGGTGCAAAGTTAGAAGGTTGTTGTTTTTTCCCAGTTAAGCAAGCAATTGGATAGGAAATATCTTATGGAAAGTTAGTTAGTTACTTTTATTGCTACCAATATCAAAGTCGTTAAATAAATGGAATTTTAACTTTTTTAATGGACGTTCATGAGAGGTCTTGATAATCCAGTCCTTGCTGGAAAATATTTTTAAAACTCCCGTTGGTTTCAATAACAGGATAAAATTGTATGGCTCTATAAAAACAGATGATGAGACTCACTGTATCTACTTTTTCACTCATTTTTGCTGGTCACCAGTAGGGGACAGAAGACCAGCCAAGTTATGGTGATGGATGGCACGCTTTTGTTGATGCGGGTAGCTGGATAACCTCCAGATACCCAACTTAAATACCCCACCCATCTTTTCAGTTGTCCCATGGCCAGCCCTACATCAGCCAACAGCAGTGATGATGTTTGTACCATTTGGTTTTAACAGCAGAGTAACTCAATTAGATTGTGGTAGTAGATATGACTCATATTTCACTACCTCTATTAAAATAAGATAGAGAGGTGGAAACCACAATGTTTGCAATGCAGTGCATACTGTGAGGACAAAGGAAAATTATATGCAATATGTGTAATATGGAATTAGATAATACTGCAAAGTGTTCTGTGTTAGAGGATATCCTTAGAAGTGGCTTTTGTGCACTGCCAGTATTTCCTTCCTTTAGCTGGAGAGTGACTGGTTAGTGGCACACAGGGCTGTGGTGCTTCCCATTACCTTTGGATTTGGGGAAGATCATTTATGCTCCTATGGCTTGCTGAGTCAGCTTTGTTCTCATTTCTTGTGACTTGCACGCTCGTGCTGCCTTGCAGCACTTTTCTCCTTGACCATCATATGTCTCGTTTGTGAGCTGCCTTCAAACTGTTCAGTTCTAATCAATTTTGAGTAGGACATGTGTAGCTATCCTCAGCTTGGAAGTGTCACATCTGGAGTATAAGAATATTTGGTAGGTGAGAGCTGTGGGGACTTTTAAGATGCTGATGCACCCACTGCTTCCCTGAAAACAGAAAAGCAACAAACGTTTTTTGAAGAAGCTGGCACAGACTTATCTGAGCAAAAAGGTTGTGTACTAACTCGACCAAGTTTGGCTGAAAATCCTGTAGAAATAATGAGCTGAAAAGATTTTGACAACCAGCCAATTGATGTTTGTCCTTCAGGCCCACGAGCTGCTAAACTTCAGACCACTTCTATTTTGGAGTATGTTATTAGTAGTGCATTCTCTATTCTAAGTTATCCATAACCACTTTCAAATTGTCATTTTTGTGTTTTTCTTTCTCAAAAATACTTTGTTCTACTTACAACTAAAACCACATGCATAAGAGGAAAACAAGCACGAGTTAATTGAAGCGTGAGACAACATGTGTTTCATTAAGCTAAAATTAATAAGCTATAAATCAGCATACCTACATTAATTGTACCAGTGTCTTTTTGATGTACATGTATATTCTAAAATGTTTTCAATTATTAATCAGTTTAATATAAGTAAGGAGGTGAAAGGTT